AGTCAATTAATGTTTTTGTGGGTTCGGGTGCCGGTTACTCTAGCTTGGTGGAATGATGATGGATCATTGGCAAAATTTACAGCGTGGAGTCCCGGTTCGAGCCTCATCAGGGCTCCGGCTGCTTTTCCGAGTTAGGAGGGTTTGATTGCTATTAGTGGTTGCGAGCCATTTATACGGTTTTATACATGTCGATTGATTGTTTGATTGATTGATTCATTCATTCATTCATTCATTTAATATATGCCGACATTTAGCAATACGAATTGACATCCAGCATCAATCTACCGTTTTCATAAACGTATTGCCTAAATATCATGCATAGGCACAAGATCTATGGTTGCCTCGATACCGTGCCAAATCACGTTTTGCACAATGCACAAGTAAAGTAAATTATATTCGCTGGGTCTTCCGTGCATTGTGCCTAGCAAAAACAGGAATGCAATTGTTAAGCGACGCAAAATGTGCAATGCAGCAAGTGACCACACACACCCGCCCAGCCCCATGGTCCACCAACACGCCCCACACCACTCGCCAGCCCACGCCAACCACCGAGACGAGCCCCTCCCCCCGCGCTGGTCTGACGCAACAGCTGGTCTACAAAGCGCTCCACCCGGCGACCCGAGCCGATGTCAAACGGCGTGGGTAGACTGTGCCGCTTCACTCTCGGGTCATGCGGCACAGCCTACCGGTACCAGGCGGCTGCTGCCAATGCTGAGCCATAGGAACCCGGTGGATAAAGAGTAGGGGACCATCAACCTGTACACGACTGTACCTATATCGTGCTGTTTGCCCTAGCGCTCCTAGAGTAGGGTATTAAAGGTAGTGTGCCACCTTTGAAAGATTTCCCATTTTATTTTTCCTAGGATAAGAAGCTTCTGTTTTTACCTAATATCGCAAAAAAAGTCAAAAATGGGCCTGGAATAGTGCCTTTCTCGCCTAAAAGTTTATCGGTTTTTCGATATGTATAACAACTGTAGTGGGCTGGCCTGCAAACAGGCGTCGGCAACAATCGCGAATGCGGCGCACATGTGACAATAAGCAAAGGTCATTATAGAGTTACGACGTACGGGAATGAGTTATCAGCTGTCTAATCGTAGACAACACAATGTCGAGCCGTAAACTGTAAGCCTGTATTGGTATTGTTTCTTTTATTTGGCTGTCGAACATTATTTATGGTTTGAAATATGATTTTATGTAAAATATTTGATATGAAAAAGCCGTCTCTTAAGTTATGACCCCATTTCACCACACGCAAGTGGCAGAAATGACAATGATCAGCTGACGCATTTTTCTTGGCCGAAGTCAGAGCGCGCGGCCCGACGCACCACCACCGCACCACAAAGTATGAGCAGAAGCCGCGCCCAAAGCCAGGGCCCCGGTAACGTGAGGTAGCCGAGTCGGGGCAACGTGCGCTGACCCAAGCCAGGGCCGCAGCTTTGGGCGCGGTCTACCGCATCCCCGCGGGCAGCCCCGGGCTATCACATGACACCGGGAGGACGCGCGGCCCCGGCTTGGGTCAGCGCACGCTGCCCCGACTCGGCTACCTCACGTTACCGGGGCCCTGGCTTTGGGCGCGGTCTACCGCACCACCTAACAGGCGTGTTCGAAACCGCAGGAGATGCTGATGAACGGGTTTATCGAAACTTGATTGGATGAGCATATCGGTAATAGCGATTTCAGTGTGTGCATTTATTGTTCATAGTGGTGTGAAATGTGGTTGGGGTACGACCGACAACCCGTCGGGGCGAATTTCGCACTGGGGTACTCAAAATTTGAAGAATTTAAGACGTTTCCATGAGTTTTGAAGGTATGGATAAGTTCTAAAAATCCGGTTCTCCTTATCTGGGCCATTAACTCCATACGGTCCAGGAAAGCTGGCACACTACCTTTAAGATACTCTAATGTGAATATTCCGTGTTCAGGCAAGTTTCGGCAGCCAAACTAGGCGTTGTCTTGTGCAGGAGAAAGTGGCGAATTCGATAGGATATGTTTCGGAGTGGAAAAGTGTGGAGAACATTGTTGATTTCCTACATTTATTTAGAACACCATTCCTTCAATATGGTGTCTGTAAGGGTTTTTTTGTAAATGACATTTTTGTGACCGTAGTAAGGTTGTGGCATACTTTCTGTTTGCCATTCCATTCCTAATAAAGGTGCCTTTCAGAAGATATGCAACTTTAAGACCTCGCAAGAATAAAATCAACAGGACAGGACAATGAAATTGAGCTATACTTTCGGGCCTTACTGAGCCCATTGAGTAATCACGCATGAGTGTGAACTTTGGGCGCATTTTTCCTAGTCTTGCTGTGGACATACAGATAAAACAATGCCATATATGAAAACTTCAGACATTTCTTAGCCCCACTGACACAAAAAAATAAACAAAAATCCAAAAACATTTTTGGAATTAAGACGCGCTAGATCGGAAAAATCCCCACTGTGCAATGGAGAAAAATGAAAATGCCTCTAGATCCGTGTGTACGCATAGGAACAGTCCAACTATTTCAGAATCACAATGATTTGGACCATCCGTGACGACCAAGGTGTCTTTTTTGCTGATAGCCTCTAGAAAGGTCATCCGAGGTCATTTGAGGCTACAAACATATTTTTGCCAATAACTCTCGTTTGGAAAGAGATAGAACGCTGTGGATGGCTTCATTGAGTGTCTTGTTGAGACGCATCGACTAATATGCATATGACCTTTTCCGGTCAGGTCATGACCTTGACCTGAGGTTAAATTTTCAAGTTGACCTTTCAAAGGTCAAATCATAGTTCATTCGACGTGTCTCGGCGAAAGGAACACGATTCTGGCAATAGAAATGTCGTGGCGTTTTTAAGTCAAAAGTTATTGTCGAAAAACACTTTTCGTAAAAACAACTATTTTTGGCGTTTTTGCCCTCTGGAGGCTAAACCGTTGATCTGATGTCAATTTTAATGATGACCTTATCAAAAGAAGAGTTCAAAAGCTATCTATTGCTTTCCCATGAGTTTTTCTAGCTATCATGGTTCCTGGGATAGGTGATAACGGCATGTTTTCTGAAAAAAAACATAATGACAATTGGCAAATTTTTACCTTTGATGACCTCTGGTGATCCTAATATTGCTCTAAGATGAAAAATGACTGAAATACTTTCAAACGTACGCATTGAGAGCTATCGACTCCTTTTTACCGCGTCTTTCTAGCCCTCTTAGTTTTTTAGGTAGAGGTGGGTGATAACATATGTCCCCCCTCCCACACTTTGGCCGTTACAATTCAGAGGTAAAGAAGGTATAAATACACCAGGTGGATGTATTTTTGGTCAAAAAAAAAAACCCAGACAAACAAGATAGACACTTCACAAAAACCCCGGCTATGAGGGACTCGATATTAAGAGCGACCAATTGGCGGAGAAATATGCTAGTGAATCTCGAGAGACGCTCGAGAAAACCCAAGAATTGCCACCCTTGAATAGGCTGACTGCCGTGTGGAATAGCGACTTTGCAAGGCACGCTCAAATGATACAAACAACTCCGTGAATATGCTCGCCGAACAGCCGCTCAGACTGGTAAGGCTAACATATTCACGGCGCTGTGCTATCGGTGGTTGGGTCCAAAAAGCGTACCTGTGTGGAAACTAGCCAGACAGACGTAGCCCCAGAGTTTGACCCTCGAATGCATATGCGTCGACGAGAAAGCCGACAGAATGCCTCTCAGACAAGACTGACCACATCCCCAGCAAACGCATATAACATTCGAGGTCCCAACGCACCAGCCGCGACAACAGACATTGCCCGACTGCCCTCCGCCGGCGCGACCCCACCCGACCTCGCCTCACAATCACGTGGTCAGCAGCCGACCAATCACTATACGAGTCGGCGCCGCACAGCCCCACTCCAGCGACAGATGCTGTGCCGCAATACAGCGGCCGTGCGTCGGCCGAGGAGAACACGGGCGGCCGAGCCGACACAAGCGGGCGAAAAGACGATAACTAAATTCACTGAGTTGTAACAATGGCGAAGTTGGCTGAGACCGCCACTGGGCGCGGGTTAAACACTGCTGTCGCCACCCCAGTCCTTATTCAGTCAACGCCTGTCACTGCCTTGGTGAGCAGAGATCTGATCTCGCGAATAAATCGTTCTAGACGATCCTAACCAGAAAATTGCATATTTTGTAAGAATCCTGAGCATTAGAAACATACAGAAAATTGCATATTTTATCAGAATCCTGAGCATTAGAAACATATCCTGCCACTTACTTGAGCCCAAAATGCTCGTACTAACCCGTGCTGTATAACTCCCATTGGCCCATGATGGGCGCTTTGCCCCACACCAAAGTGGGCGTATTACCCCAACAGCACATTCAAAACAACATTTGCCAGAATCAAGCCTGTCAAAATTGTGTTGCAAGCAAATAAATGATGAAAGCATAGCTTAAATCTGCAGATTCAACATAACAAAATTGCATTGCCTTTTTCAATCTCTATCAAAGTTTCAGCACTAAGAAAGCTTTTAAATCCTAGAAAACATCAGAAATATATCCAGAAAACCGCACTTGTGAAACCAAAAAAGGGAGCACAAGCAGATTCCTGTGTGTTCTTGAAAGTAGCTATTAAGGATTCTTTGAAAAGTCGAGCATTTCACAAATAGGAGGGTGGGCGTTTTACCCGCCCTGTGCGCTTTGCCCCACTCCACCCTAAAGAAAGGCCATAGGTTCGGCGACTGATAAATACTGAAGTTCCTTCTATCCGAGGGATTCTGAGGAAACCGGCGTGTTCATTACTATAGGTACATATTCTGGGTAAAATTCAGAGTTCCGTATCTACGTAACTCGAACGTAAAGGTTGTGGCGGCCGTTAACATAATCATAATCGAGTCCCGACGTCTCTTTTCTGTAACGTAGGCAGCCACCGGTTCATCGTCTGCGCAATATGTATGGTCGCCATCGTTAGCCACTCCATGGCGAACAGGGTTGAACTGCGGCATTGGTAGGCCTGGCCAGGGCGGGCTGCCACACGCCACTCACCGGCCGCGTGCCCAGGTGGTAAGTGTTTCCCAGCATGATCTGACAATCCTGGTCGGACAGCTGCTCCGGAAGCAGACCCTTCAGAGTCCCCTGAAACACATCATTCGCCAGGTCAACATAGCCGCATATCGTATAGGATCCATCATCAGCATAGGCGGCGGAACGGGGAGGGGCACCGTGCCCCCTTGAATTCTGCAAGGGGGCACCAATAGCAAGGTGCCCCCTTAAATTTGATGTATTAGTAACAGGGGCGGATTCGGGAAAACTCCAAGGGGAGGGTCATGAAACGAAGTGGTGCCCCTACCTATACCCAAAATTAAAATCTCAAGGGATTTCGGCCACTTAATTTTGGTGGTGCCCTATTTTCAGTGTTCTTTTTTTATTTTCTTTATTTTTGGTTAGTCATGTGATGACTGTTGCCCCTGCTAGGCCGCTGGTGCCCCTGGAAAGACTGTGGTACACTCGGGGGCAGATTGATGTTCTACAACTCTTTATCCACCGGGTTCCTATGGCTCAGCATTGGCAGCAGCCGCCTGGTACCGGTAGACTGTGCCGCTTCACTTATTTGTCAAGCGGCACAGCCTACCCACCCGTATGACACCGGTCTGGGTCGGTGGCTGGAAGGTGATGTGGGCCGCCTGTGACGTCAGCGCAGCGGTGAGGGCCGAGCCCGGAGGCATGGCTCGGGTCGGCGCGGCGCGGCGGCTGGCGAGGGCTGGGGAGTGAGGTGGGGTGGGAGCACGGACATCGCGCGGCTGAGCGAGTGTAGTTAACTTTCGCGTCTCAAGGCGACAGTTATTCTACCTAACAATTGTGCTAAAGCATGTCCTATCCCCAAGACAGCGCCTATCATCATACTTGCAATGCACATTACGACACACTTTAGCGTGGCAATGGGACAGCCAATAGAACTTATGTCACTCGTGCATCGAGGTGCGGAGCTATATTTTGTAGGTATAACATATTAGTATTAAGGCCTTGATTGAGCAGATTGGTGTCTATTGTTTCGCACGGCAATCGTCCAGAGACGTGGGAACTGGGGGTTATGAGTAGTGCCGCAGCCAACGCCCCAATTTAAAGCGATTATTACTGTTCCTCTATTATGTGGTCACAGCCCCCAATAGCAAACCGTTCTAACTAGGAGCCAAAAAGTCGGCCGCTCAGGGGGTTCGAACCGGGCTTCTCTCACCGACCAATTCACGACACGAGCGTTCATCCATTGAGCTACCGAGAATGGTGCTCGTCTGCACAAAACAAAATGACATTGACCCGCTGACCGCCAATGACAGTATTGTGACATTTGATCGCGTTTGACCGCCGCGGGTGGTCGCTGGTTTCGGCAGCTCAGTGGATACACGCTAGCGTCGTAGGGTGACCGGTTGGAGAAACCCGGTTCGAACCGTCTCAGGTGCGCGAATTATTTGTTCCTAGTTGGAACGGCTTGCTATTGGTGGCTGCGACCACACATTAGAGGAACAGTAAGAATTGCTTAAAGTTGGGACGCCGCGCTATCCAAAAACCCCAGTTCCCACGTCTCTGGACGATTGCTGTGCGAAACAATAGACACCAATGAGCTCAATCAAGGCCTTAACCCGCGCCCCGTAGGGCTACCGGCGGACCCTACCACCCGTAGGGGGGGGGGCCGTTTCGGCCCCCCCTAAGATCTCGGAAAGTTACCGGCCGATTTTCAAAATTCAAACGGCGTTTGATAGACCTACCCGGGAACTACCTTGTGACCAAATTTCATTGACCTAGGTCAAACCGATGACGTCACAGGTCAGGTCAAAGGTCAGATTTTCACCGTTCACAGGCAATTCAAGAAATGTGCTGTGAAATCGACTAAATTGGTAATTTATTGAAAACCATCGATGGTATATTGTTCGTCAAACACATACTTTGCTATCTGAGGTCACTGATACCAGGTCAGGTCACAGCGAGGTCAGGTCACCGGGGGTCACAATATGAATGTGTCGTGTGATACATGTTTTATGGTCCATTTTACATGACAAATGCGATTATGTGGGTTAGGCAGCATTTGGGGCCAGCCTAGGTCACGTTTTGGTGAAGGTCAGGTCAAGGTCAGGTCAAATTAGGTCAAATTTCAAAGTTGATATTTTTGCATAATATGGGTATCCATTCGATGCAGCTCGTCACGGGGAGTCTAATGGTGGTCTTTGTTTTGCTCTACGAGTTCTAGAATTGCCAGAAATTGAGTTTGAAAATTTGAAGTCATCATTTTTGAACAGTTTTTTCGCTATAACTTGGCCAAAAAACGAGGTATCGATCTGAAATTTGGTATGTAGATAGAAGACGGTAGGTACTATCACATATATTCCGGTTTTTTCGAAACTCAAAAAACTTTTTGGATTTTTTGGCTAATATATCCAAAAAAATGCTTTTTTGATTTTTGGGGATCAAAACTCAAAAATTTCAAAAATCCGAGATAGCAGTTTTGTAGCCCTGTCAATTCTACACCTTTTATGTCTTGATCATTTTTCTGTATCTTCAAAGCTGTAGGCCTGACAGGTCTTCTCGCGAAGGTCTTTTTTTCGGTCGAAAATGACAGAACATGACGTCACTCTGACGTCATTTGTGGCCAACCTATCACAGCCTCTGGAAAAATTTTTGGTCACAATGTGTAAAATTGATGCCCGGAGGGGTCCTGAAAGTTTGGTGGCGATATCTCCAGCCGTTTAGGAGATATCGACCGAAAAGGACAGGGGGGGGCCGTTTCGGCCCCCCCCCCCTACGGGGCGCGGGTTAATACTTATCTGTTCTAAACAATGTAGCTCCGCAACTCGATGCGCGTGTGATATAAATTCTATCGGCTGTCCCAATGCCACGTTTAAGTGTGTCGTAAGGTGCATTGCAAGTATGATGATAGGCGCTGTCTTGGGGATAGGACATTTTAACAACTGCTTTAGCACAATTGTTAGGTAGAATAATTGGCGCCTTGAGACGCGAAAGTTAACTACACTCGCTCAGCCGCGCGATGGTCCGTGCTCCCACCCCACCTCACTCCCCAGCCCTCGCCAGCCGCCGCGCCGCGCCGACCCGAGCCATGCCTCCGGGCTCGGCCCTCACCGCTGCGCTGACGTCACAAGCGGCCCACATCGCCTTCCAGCCACCGACCCAGACCGGTGGCATACGGTGTGGGTAGGCTGTGCCGCTTGACAAGTAAGTGAAGCGGCACAGTCTACCGGTACCAGGCGGCTGCTGCCAATGCTGAGCCATAGGAACCCGGTGGATAAAGAGTTGTAGAACATCAATCTGCCCCCGAGTGTACCTACCTACCCTGCCCCCTGACAAGCCTACGGTGGGCCCTGACATGACTTAGGTGCCCATGGGCCCTGACAGGCCCGTGGTGCCCCTGACAGGCCTGTGGTGTCCTTGCTAGGCCTGTGGTGTCCCTGGGCCTTGGCAGGTCTGTGGTGCCCCTGGTGAGCCTGTGGTGCCCCTGTTAGAACGCAGGTGCCCTTGACAGGTTTGTTGTGCCCCTGACAATCCTGAAGTGCCAACGACAGGCTTGTGGTGCCCTTGACAGGCCCATGGTGCCTTGCGAGGCCGGCGGTTCCCCTGCGAAGCCGATAGTGCCCCTGGCAGGCCTCTGGTGCCCCTGGCAGGTCTGTGGTGCCCCTGGAAAACCTGTAAAGCTTTTGCTAGGCCGATGGTGCTCCTGACAGGCCTGTGGTGCCACTGACAGGCCCGTGGTGCCCCTGCTAGGCCTGTGGTACCCCTGGCGGGCCTGTGGTGCCCCTGTCGGCTGTCAGGCCTGTGGTGCTCCTGGCAGGCATGTGGTGACCCCAGGCCCTAAGTCATGACCCATGTGACCTCCCCCCTGGGATTCGCCACTGATTAGTACTGCGATGGCTTCTTGGGAATTTGATACATGTAGGATAAATGGAATTTATCAAACGACAATAAGGAAGAGACAAACACACAGGTACTTGAGGATCAGCCTAAAGTTAACTACACATACGGGGGTGAACTGCCATTTTCGTTTAGTAAAAAAAAAAATCATCGTGCCAGGGCTGTGACGAAAAAAGTGGCCTAAATCCGATGAGAAAACAGGATTTGGGGGTACCCTAGGTTTGGCTCCTTGAGCTGGTGCCCCCCCCCCCCCCCCTGTCTCAAATCGTTCCGCCGCCTATGATCATCAGAGCCACTGCGCCATGCTCTTTCTGTGAAGCGAAATGGAGTTGTTTCAAGACTAATTTGGGGCGGCCGATGGCGTGAGTAGGCCGATAGTTTTTAAGGAAAGTGTGCTTTCGCCCAGCGGCCGTGGCTGAGAGGCCGTGCCTGAGGGGCTGAGGGGCCGGCCCTGACTGAGGGGTCGTACTTACCTGAGTGCCAACCGGCATGAACACAGGAGTGTTCACAGTGTGGTGCGGCAGCTCCATGGTGCTCACACGAGCCTTGCTTTTTGAGCATTCTGCTACCACCTTGAAATTCAAGGCATGGTTGGCAAACTTTGGCTTACTCATAATACCTGAAAAAACGATGTGCCTGTATATTAATCCGCGCACCGACGGGGGTCCGCGCCAACTTAGAACCGACGGGGGAGGCGGATACCCCCCCCCCCCGAGATCTCGAGAACGAAGCAATATAGCTTTACAAAGGTCATTTTCAAGTCAAGTCAAAGATGACGTTACATGGGGTGCTAGACATGAAGAGTTTTTCTCGAATAACTTTCGAAGTAGCCAAGCTAGGAGCAAACTAATAGTCACGGCGCAGCACACCCCTCGTCTCCGCCATCAGACACAGGGTCGCCGAGGTGACAGCCGGCGCACACGGGTTCCTGATACAGGTTGATCTGAGCGGAGCATGCTGGTCAAAAACATTTATCAAACGGCGACTGAGATAAGACCATTTCTCGGCCACAGATGGACAGCTAAAAACACCGGACCAGTCAACAAGATACAAGTCATGTAACAAACTGAAATGATCAATGTTCCTAAAATGACGAGTGCTAACACGGCGAGGCTTACGGCGGCATCTAGGAACGCTAAAAAGGGCACAAACGAAGTAATGAGGGCTAAAAGCGCACCTAAAAGCTCCCATACGCTGCACCACGTTACTCGAATTGCATATAGCTAGGAAAGAGTGGGGCAAAGCGGCAACCCTAACGTTTCTAACGATGCCGACGCTTGATTTTTAAACTTGGAAAGATTCTTTCTATACCAATGTGATCCCTATTAAATTGTCTTTTATTCCAACTGCGTTTCATTTCCAAAGGCGTTCACATATGGGAGATATTGACAAAACTTTAAACCTATAGCATATTGGCCACTTTGCCCCATCCCTGAGGCAAAGCGGCCACTGGCGACTTCTCAAGTCCCGATATGAGAAACAGAATAGTTGCCTCATGCACGACTAGGGTTTTGATGGTGGCAAGGTTTAAGGCAGGGGTCGGCAAATGGTGGGGCATGCCCCCTTTGGGGGTAATGGAGCCCTTTCGGTGGGGGTAATGAGGGATTCTGAGAAGGCCTATCTTTTTAGAGTTTGTAGCTCCAGTGATGGAGCCATCGTGACTGTTGCATCCCAGGGTTCAAAGATTAGCCCAGGCCAAAGGCACAGCACACATTGGTTCGATACCAATTTTCACGTACTTGCTCGCCTCACCATCTCACCCCTCCGTGCAGTCGTACAAAAGCAGCTGCAACTTTCAACCGTCGCCAGTCTGTTGGCGTTTCAACAGCCGCTAACGTAAGGGGGAGGAGTCGATCGGACCCCCGCAGCCTCTCGGACTCTGAGATGGAGCTGTGCATAAAAAAGACAGGCGTGCTACCCGTGACAATAGGAAGCCGCTGCTGCCCATTTTTTAGGTCCTTGGTCATTCCGTCTCATTCAAGAGGGCAATGACAAGTGTCGAGAAAATCGGGACCCGCTATAACTTCTTGAAGTGAGATTTTATGGCTCAAGATTATCTCCAGAAAAAGCGCATAAGCCAACGGTCATTATGGGTCCAGAGGCCAGTTTTACCAACAGAAAAATAGCCGCCTGCCGGAATTTTTTGCCTAAAGATCGTTTCACATATGGAGCGTAAACGGTAAAGCCCTATCCACTTACGTACCCATCGCGTTTACTCGCGTATGTGAAGGGGTCTTGAGGCAAAAATTCCGGCAGGCGGCTATTTTTCTGTTGGTTAAACTGGTCTCAGGTCATGATGTTTTCCGGGCTAGTAAAAAAAAAAAAAAAATGATGGGCTCGAGGGTACAATTTGGTCGTGATCCAATGCCTTTTACATGAGCTTTTAACGAAAAACCACCCGCCGCCCCTATACGTACAAGGGTTAAATGGGATATAGCATAGGCGGCGGAACGGGGAGGGCACCGGGGCACCCCTTTGATTTTGGCATTTTAACATTAGCCCTATGGGCGTTGAATTGAAAGAATGGGACCAAAAGTCGGCAGTGCCACCCCCCCCCCCTTAATTGAAGGTGTTCCGCCGCTACTGGGATATAGGTATTAAATGTTTTGCGGAGGAAGTGTCATGTTTTAAATTTGATGCATCGGAAATGCAGAAATACCCAAAGAGTTCCAGGACTGTATGAAATTTCAGTAAACTTGGTTGTGTCAGCAATGGGGTCTGGTAGGTGGGGGTTACCTGGCGCCCAAAAAGGGGGCACGACCCCGAATGACCTGCCGACCACTGGTTTAAGGGAAGATGGATGTTAACTTTGTTATCTTCCCACCTATTGCTAAACAAAGAAAGAATTTTCTTGGAAAAACATTTAATTGCATAATTTGGTAACTCATGTAACCGAAAAGTGGCCAAGATGAATGCATGACGACACATTTGAATATAAATAATGTTTTTACCCAGATGGAAACAACTTATGGCCAATTGGGGGCTGGCCACTTTGCCCCGGCCGCTTTGCCCCGCGCATACCGTCCGAGACAAAAATATTCCAGCTCAGCTATTAGTGGGGTAAAAAGTATTAAAATTGGTAGAAGGCATTTACGATAACCACGCAATGCATGGACAAAAACGCTTATAAAAATTCCAAACGGTTATGGAATAAAATAGCATTTAACCCTCGCCCATGTAGGGGGGGGGTTGGTGCAACCCCCCCCTTGAGGTTTTTCGGAAATAGTGTAAAAACGGCGGCGCGCAGCGCCGCCAAATTTTGGGTACCTTATGGGGCAAGCCTTGCGCATCTTTTGATAAAAAAAATTTGACCGGGTCATGTCAGGTCACGGAGTTATGACGTCACAAAGGGAACAGCCTCCGGCCGGATTTTCACAAACTGAGTGCCAACGCCCGAGGTTTCCTGCCGGTGGTACGGACATCGGTTGATGGATCGTGATGAAACTTCCCATGCATGTTGGGGCAAGTATTGGCTATCATATGGTATAAGAAACTTGACCGGGTCAGGTCAGGTCACGGAGCTATGACGTCACAAGAGGAACAGCGTCCGGTACTATTTTTGAAAAGCGCCCGAGCCACTATTTTGCTAATTCTTGTCAGCTCAATGGGAATATGCAGCAATATTAGCTTCTATAGGGAGCAAATGGACCTCCCAAATCCAAAAATACAATCAGATTTCAAAAATTTAAATTTTGATTTTTCGAATTTCTGCCGCCGACTGTGACCTTGCCGACTTCCGGCGCTCCCAACGCGCCATTTTTAGAGCTAGGGAAACGAAATACATACCAAACGATAGAGAATTGATCAAGGAACACGATAGTGAAGGTTTCAAGTCGATATCTCCCACCGTTTTGCCGCAATCGCCGCGGAAAGTTGAAAAAGTCTATTTTTCCGAAAATTTGACCTTTGACCGGTCAAAAGTAGGTCAAATGTTGACCTAGGACCAAAAAATATACCACCAATCGCGAGATCTCGGCGAGAGCAATCCGATGGTCTTTTCCGCTAAGCTCTACGACGCTCCGTTTTCAAACGCCAAGGGGGGGGTCGCACCAACGGGCGAAGGTGGCAGATCGCCGTTTACGGGCGAGGGTTAAAAATTGTAGACATAATTGGTAACCTGGCAAGAAATGCTTTTCCGTGTTTCACAGAACAATGGCGATGGGCCTGAAACCCCGGTTTGGCTCATTCGAACGACCGCAAAGAGAAGTATAATTGGAAATCATAAATTGGAACTGACGCCAGCTGTGGAGGGCTAAAACGATGGATGGCCGCTTTGCCCCGGGTGGCCGCTTTGCCCCACTCTCCCCTACATCTAAAAGAGATCCTGATGAGAAGGTCGGTTGTGTAACGAACTGTTCTAAATTTAAAGATCGCAGCATCTCCAGCAAACGGTGCTTCCCGACACAGGTGGCAGTGTCTGACAAATCACAGTTCAGGTCACCCATGATAAAAACTGGTCCAGAGTGCCACAGTAAAACTCTGATACTGCACTTCCAGTTCGTTCAAATCGGCCTGGACGGCCGCCACCGTAGGGCGCGGGGGACGGTACACTGCGGCGATGGAGAACTGTCGGCCGGCCGCCGGCTTCACTCGCAGCCACAGCAACCCCAGCCGACAGGCCGCGCAGTCTGACGCAGGCTGGGGGATGACAGACGCCGGGTAGCTGGGGCATTCCACGATAGATCGTACCAGGCCCGTCACCCTCATCCCTCAGATTTGAATGAAAATCGGTCCTTGAGGTAATCATGGGCTCCAAAAACACCTGCCAAAATATCAGACTTTTCAGATGAAAACTTCTTTTTGAGTTATATTGCATAATATTTTCTAAACTTCAGATTGTAAGGGTGAGTTTGATGAGCTATAACTCAAAAACGAGCTAAGCAAGCAACAAAGGGTAAACAGCTTTGAACTAACGATGAATCAAAGATTAATACAGCTTTTTTAAATTGGAAAGAAAAACTTTACATATTAAAAAAAGTCGTAATATTTTTTTCTAATTTGTCTATAATGGCTCTTGGGACCAACATTTTTGCCATTTTTATTTCTTGAAAATAAACTTCAGGTCATTTAAAATCGACATGCAGAAAATTAGAAAGGTGTTCTTTCCATAAGTTCCCCATTTTAATGCATACAAAATGGGTTTCCGAGGGGTCGGTACGACCCCAGCTCGCCGTTTCGCCTCTAATGGAGCTAGAACCTTGCGGAAAAAACGAGCATGTGCGCCGTTACAAGATGCATCGAATGATACCACATTTAAGGTCTGGGGTTCATTGGTGAACCCTGAGGTCATTTTAAGTGACCCAAATTACGGGTCCGGTTTTTGGTAGAATAACTTCGCAACAAATGGTCGCAGAGCCGCGATTTTAGCATCTTTGTGTTTGCCTAGCTCCGGCGCGTCGAATGGTATACTGTTTGTTCTGGTGAGGTCAGCATAAGTCGCTGACCTCGGGTCAGCACACTGCCGTGTATTTGGCTCCGCTCCCCGACCGGGCGGCCCAGCCGGCAGCCAGCCGCCGGGCATCACGTGACCGCCCCGAGTCCGCGGCAAAGCCAACCAGCGCGGCGCTGGACAAACAGCGCCGCCACAGAGATGTTAAACAGTCGGGTCAGGCCACGAAG